AAGCCTCAGCAGTTCGATCCACTTCACCGCCTCGGCTTCCACATCTGCTTCTACGCAGTTCAGCCACATCTTAGCAAGCCTCGACGGTTCGATCTACTTGGCCGCCTCGACTTCCACATCTACTTCTACACAATTCAGCCACATCTTAGCAAGCCTCGATAGGTTCGATCCACTTCACCGCCTTGGCTTCCACATCTGCTTCTACGCAGTTCAACCACATCTTCTCAAGTCTCGGCAGGTTCGAGACTTCTTCATCACCTTCCCCAATCGCAGCAACACCACCACTTTCAACTCCAACCATGATATAAATATTTATACTTGGACTTGGGAGACTATTAGTTGAGATACAAAAAATTCAAAATATTAGTTGAGGTACAAAAAATTCAAAAGTACACACATTACATAAATGACCATACTTGGACTTAGGGGACTATTATTACATATGGACACTTGGCCGACCCACTGGGCCCATGGCCCACCTCTTCTGACCCATGTGACATCTTATCCGAGGCCCTTCCTTCTGAGGCCCAATCTTCTCCCAAGGTCCTGAGGCTCTAAGCAGCACTCCTCCCCATAGATCCGGTCTTACACAAGGATCTTTCTTGAGTGATTGATGGGACACTCATCATAGAGTGCAAGTGTCTTGTCTTATCAACGTAGTGGCAGAGCCGTCAATTAATTAATGTGTAGTAGGCTAGGAAGTCAATTGTGATACTTATAATTGGACATGTAAACTTACGAAATGAGGTCACGTGTACTCCCAATCAAAGGCCACGATCTAAGTAGTAATACTATAAATACGTCCCATGTATCTCTCACAAGGAAAATGCAAGATTCAATACAAGAACAAATACAACATTCTTTACATTCTACTCTCTTGCAACATACACTAATTTATACATGTATCCTACAAAGATCGATTAGTAATTAATGTACAATCGTTATGCAAACATTTCACTGGATTCTGAACGTTCTCGTCCCGCACCTTTGAGCCACTCCCACGTCCTTGATCTGTCCATTTGAGACCGTCCACGTGTTTTAGAGTGTTGGACCATATTTACATGTGTGAGGATGGGTCCGGTATCTGTTGGCAACATATTCAGGGTCAACATTTATAATGCGATGCTAGGCTCCCGGAGTGTAAATTTGATTATTATTTGAGATGACAATCTAAATCGGGGAATTATTAACCACAGTTCTCTGAGGCATCCCAGCATTGTCAGATTTAAAGGAATAATGTTATTTGCAGTCACTCACTGCGACAGTCGTCCTACGTGGCATACATATGACAGGTGGTTATTTGATGCATTCATGAATAAAAAAAACTACCACATTAATGCATCAAATAATCACCCGCCATGTGTATGCCACGTAGGGCGACTACCGCAGTGAGCGACTACGAATAGCATTACTCGATTTAAAGAGGTAGATTCATTTGCAAAATGGATGTGTTTCTATAACATGACTTGGTCATGCTCATAGTGTAGTACATCTTGACATCTTGACATACTGACAATAGGAAGCAGCCCCAAAAATTTGTCAAAATTCCAAGACTATTAGACCATGGATATGAAGTTTTCCACACAAGTAAAAGAATAATGTTATTTGCAGTCGCTCCCTACGAGAGTCGCCCTACGTGGCATACACATGACAGGTGGTTATTTGATGCATTAATAAATAAAAAAACTACCACATTAATGCATCAAATAATTACCTGCCATGTGTATGCCACGTAGGGCGACTATCGCAGTGAACGACTGCAAATAGCATTACTCCAAGTAAAAACATTATATTTGGCACATGCAGCTATTTCTAGAATGTTAATAACATTGAAAAGGCTATACTTGGACATTTCTTAAGTAGCCGTGACAAGATACAGATATTTTGTTCATCAGAAACAATACTCATCCTATACATGATCCTAATAATGGCGGCTGCATCAAACATTGAATAGTCAAACTTGGAACTCATTAACATTGACTGGAAACAAAAAAATTTACGACCCAAACATGGAAACTCAAAAAACCTTTGAACGTGTCCTTATCATTGGCACAAAGATTGGTGACATCAGTGACGACGGAGTCAAGATTGTCATGCAAGACGGAAAAAACGGTTGCAGCCTCCGCCCCATAGACTATATCCCAAGTTATAAGCCACTTTAGAGAGTATCGTTGAAGTTTTAGTTTCATGCCTTTATTTATTATGAACAGATATGAACTACTCATATTTATATTATTATATAATGTAGGGATACATTAGAAAAAGTGTAAGTAAATTTTTTTATTTCCAACTGTATTAATTATATTTTCTCTATGAAAATGGAAGCAAGCTTATTTTATGGGATGGAGGAGTGTGTATATATATATATATATATATATTGAAAAAATTGAAATATCTATACAATTTAAGAAAAAATTGAAAATGTTGGGGTGGTTTCCCCCCAACACACGGTCCCCAGATTTGGTATGCTATATTGGACACTAAGAACAGCATTAACGGGAAGAAGTTAAGTTCAAATATGGTTCCATATCCAATATTATGTTATTTCGCATCAGATGATTTCGGAATTTCAATGGGACCATTGCAATCACATTACCAGCTGCCAGTTAAATTTCAGCTGATTGAAAAAACACGCCAAGAATAAAGGAAGAAATTGGGGGAAAAAATTAGTACCCAAAACAGCCACAAGGGTTTGAATTTTTTCAGGTGATGGAACAATGTCAGGGCCACAATCGGCAAACACTTCCTTGCAAGTATTATACAGTCTCTGAACCGGCGACACTTTCTTCTGCCTTCGCTTCCTCTTCGACTCATTGCTTACCTTAACTTTTACATCACTCCTGTTTTCTTCAATCCTCATTTTCGTCAAAATTCACTCAAAATTTGCAAAAGACGATATGGGTTTTTGCAGAAACAAAAGAAAATGCAAAACTATGATCTGGGTACTCAAGAAAAAATCCAATAACAAGAAATATGGCAGATTTTTACAGGCAAAGAGACGAGATTTTTGGGGGGTTCTTGATAACTGTATAGATAACAGTGATATGATGGTTTTAGGTACTAATACACAGGAAATATTAGAGTACAGTATGAATCTAGGAACTGCTGTAAAGGGGTAACAGAAATACAGAGATGTGGAATTTATGCATTCTGCTATGGTTACTTACAATGGATAATTAATAGGCAGATATGGGGTTGGGGGTACGCAATACAGTTGGTTTGAGAGAGAGGAAGAGGAAAACCATGGGCCATGCTTAGAATTCCAGTGGGCTGTTTCAACAGCGGATTTTGCTTTTAACTTTCCATTTTATCCTTTGAGGAATTGACTTTTCATGTATTTTGACTTGGCCCTTCAATTTCCATATACCAAAAATTAGCCGTGGTTAAAAGTTGTTTTTTAGTAGCTTTTCTCGACTTAACGTGTCATTCCCAATTAACACATCGACCAATTATCGACTTATTCTTTACCATTCTTGGAATTACACAGCTCATTCTTTGATAGCACGAACATAAATGTAATTAAGTACCTTTTCGAGCCCCATTCTCACCAAATTTATTTCCAACCAAACATTATCTTGACAGAATAATTTTGCGCGTAAATTAAAAATTTTTTCTAATTTTTTATCATACATTCTCCAAAATAATTATATCACAAAATATATTCTTCCAAAAAAATGGAGCTCAAACAGATGCTAAGAAAAGTCATTTTTAATCACGGCTAAACATTTTTTAGCCATTTTATGATATTGCCCTCTTTTCTTATTTCCTGGATTTTTTTTCCCCAATTTCAAGTGATTTCTTTTAGTTTAGTTATTAAGAAGGCAAATGACAATGTCGAAAACTCGATTGTCGAGAAAATAAATCATATAAATTTGAAAATATGCATCGTTTTCCAAAACAAAACACTAACTTGGAAATTTATAAACATGATAACAACGAGAAATTTATGAACTCAATAATGCATGTCGATCTATACACATTCCAATAGGTAACGTCTGTATATTGTTGTTAAGAGTTGATAGGATTTTATGGATCTTATGAAATGTACGGTGAAATGGATAAAAGTTGTCAACTCAATAAAAGGTGCATTTAAAATTAAAGTTTGATTAATTTCTTAACAAACAAAAGCATTATCAAATAAGCACTTATTTCAATATTTGGAAGAAATTTTTATGCTTTAGAGGGTATATATGCGTGTTAAAGGGGATGAAAACAATGAATCTTAATGTCTATTAACACGTAAAAATCATTCATATTGTGTTTCCAATTACCACATGGCCACGTTGAAATTATTTACAGTTGAAATGAGAATAGGAGAAGAGGAATAAAAGTGCATCAAATTATTGGGATTCAGTTGAGAAGCTCACAAAAGATCAGGGACTAACCAAAAAAAATTCTTAATACTTGACTTCTTATCTACCTGAAAAAGGGTTCTAAATAAGAAAAATAAAGGGAATTGAGTCAATAATCAAGGATATAAAAGAGAATTTGCAGAAACTACCAGATTAACAGTAGGTAGTTTTGTTTTGAAATTAAATAATGATAATAAATTTTGACGTAAACTATTTATAATTAAAAAAAAAAGATTAAAACTATTTATTTAGAAAGTTGATGATCGGCAGTCTATGCCAATTAATTGATTGAATATTTGTCATCCATCATCAACCTATGTGACAATACAGAAATTAATTATAAAATGGTAGATCCAGTTAAACGAGGGACAAGTGACTTGTGTAATTTGAATCTATCATTCATAGGATGATGATTATCATTAAGCTTGGGAATCAATTGGATTAGTACGAGTATTTCAATGTTCGAAATCACTCGTTATATTTTGAATATTTTATAATTGGAACTATTTGGGTTCTTGCAATTATTGGAAACAAATCCAAGTCCGAACCATCATTTTTTATTCGGGTTCGATTTTATCCATAACATTTTTTTTTATATACATTTAATAAACATTTTCAAATAGGCTATTTCGATACATATACAATAAAGGAACTATTCGAACAGCCTGTCTCTGACCACCACTCAAGAGGTGCCAAAGAAATCAGTAAAATGGAGGGTTATAAAAATATGTAACGATAACTAAGAATGCAGTACATACAGTGATACAGATACACATATATGGCTTGTATAAGTATGGATATTCAATTTTTCTTTAATCAAATACCGCTTGTCACCAAGTACATGAAGCTTTGCAGTTCACACAAAAGGAATGGGAATGCAGTCTGACCTGGTATAACTAATAGAAGGGTCTTGTATATATCATGTCAAAATTATACGGGGAGATGAAAGTAGAAAAATGCCTTTTTTTTCAATTATCACGTCATCTTTTATGAGAAACATAATCAGCAGATGCAAGCAAAAATTGTATAGTAGCAACTGAAACAGATGGTAACTTATTTACACTATAAAGGGGGAGGTCATTACAATTCATAATTTGCTAAGATGATGCATTGTGTAAAAGCTATTACCGATTCTGTTGATTAGTGTTGACCAACTGAGAGACAGGTTTTTATTCAATTACACAAAGTAGATTCCGCATGGGGAAAGCAAAATAATCACATTTTTAGGACATCTAATTCTTAAGGTAATTGAGTTGGGGGGAAAAAGCATTAAACATTCTAGCAATAAATTTATCCTATATAACCAGTACAAAGAAGCTCCTAATTAGAAAATCAGATTCAGAAAAGTCACAAGGTACAGCTGGACTCATACTGTAATCTTAGCATTTCATTTTTTCTTCAAAAGCGGTCGGATGTTTCATACCTGTTCAAATATTTCAACATTTGGGCCTAATTTATTGACACTGAGCTACACATTCAGGTGCTGTTGTTGATGACGACTTTCCAGGCTTTCTGTACCATAGAAATGCAAACCATAGAGTCCTCAACAATCCTCCATTTGCAAAGTGTGGAACGAAAATACGCCCCCAGAATGGGTAATACGGACCAGGCAATTTAAGCAATGTGAAGAATATTGCAATGGCAATCAAATGCCAGGGGACCTCTGCATTCTGCATTTACATGAATATAAACATTGTCAACATACAAGTCTACAAGAGAGTTGTTCTTCCTTACTAAGGTTTTATTACAAAATAAATGCCTGAAACAAAATCTCTATGCCATAGACACAGGCATGTACCAGCTCAATTCCAATATTGCTAATTTAGGTTACTTCATAATATGTTGGTGTTATGTGTCAAAAGCGGTAAAATAGAATATGAATTGCTCAAACAAATTCATGAACACATTCTTATGACACACTATAAAAATTAGAGTTGATATGAATCAAAGGTGAAAAAAAAAATGATCAACTAATTACAACAAATAGAGGTGGTACAGTATAAGGCAGAAAAGGAACATGAGTAGTGACAGCCATGAATTTCATTCTCAACAAACACCAGCATGCAAGGAATAGAGTATATAATATTGTCCAAAAGGTCTTTTAATCCCTGTATCAAATTCGAGCAGTAATATCCCAGTATCTGGGAAGTGTAGATTGTAGATCAGTTAAGGATCAAAGAAAAATTTGTTATGAATGATCCTGCGCATTCATTCTTCCTTGAGATAATATGATTATCTTTAATAAAATTTCATAAATATTAACATACCACCAGAGGGAACTTTTATTTGGCATCCCTCAATTTCATATGTTAAATGTTAATGACAGAGCAAATAATCACCTTGAGAGATGGAGATGACGCCACGGCTGCCTCTCTTAAGACCCCAGCTACAGCAACACCAACCAGGAACGGAATCGGAATGAGGTATAGTTTCCTTTCATGTGCACAATAAGACATCTCACTAACGGATGTAATTGTGAATACAAGGATGGACAAGTACTTAACTACTGCCAACACAAGGTCGAGAATGAGTTGAACGAAATTTTCTGATGCCTTATTCCAGGGAAAGCTCTTGACTGGCTCAGGAGCATTATCCCACAATTTTCTCGACTTGTCCAGTACGTATTCAAGACGTAACTTCCTAGGTTCATTTGACTCTCCACTGACCATGTTCATAATGCATTGAATTTTCGGACTAGCTCGGCAAATTCCATTTCGTTTGAGACTCAACATACAACTAGTCGGCCTATTGTATGATGGCCAATTCTGTCATGACATAAGAAATTTGTAATCTGAAGCTAATAATAACGTAGAATAAAAATTTATATATGCCACCTACAAAGATATGTTCACATATTTATGATGTATCATCACAGCCAAGCTACAAATTACTTGACGACAGAAGAGATTGGTAGTTCTGTAACTCGAAATACCAAGAAGTAATTCTTACCATTTTCAAAGGAAGAGTACTTCCCTTCAACTAGAGATTCATGTTAACTACATGGGGCGTAGTTCATCTATGATTTATGTTTCATCTTTTTTCCGAACTACACAGGCTCACTTAATATAAAATATCTATTCATATGAATCAAAACTCATTGCCTATTTATAGAGAAAATCAATTCTTTGCGGCTATAGTTTCTGTAATTCCATGGATTACACCTATTTAAAAAAATACCTCAACAATTCCCACAAATCCTTCAAATTGTATCTGTTTAAATCCAAGTATTGTATCATTTAATTCTATCTTTTCTTCAGTCATGATGTCTAGTGACACCAATAGGAGCTCGTCCATGCCGTTTGAGTATACCCATTCCGAATTTCATTTCATCAATGCCATAATCAATAATTAATATGATTTTGTACCGAACCAAAGGTTACTAACAAATGCGCAGTTCAAAAAAACAACCGATTTTAATAACTGTGAAATGAGTAGCAAAATTTTCTGCTCATCATCCATTAGCCCATTTCCCTCGTCAAATTTCCCCCCATCAAGCAACCCCTCTCCCCGGGATGATACCCAGTTTTCGCAGATCCAGGCAATTCAATTAAATAGAGTGAACCACTTGAAGACAAACTAGAATTACCTTAATTACCTTCAACCCAGACACAGCAGGAGAACTGATTTTGTGAGCCATGTATTTTTCCTAGCAGAAAAACGCTGGCAGGAAATCGGATTTCGGAGAGTGGATGACAAAATAAATAAATAAATAAATAGCTAACTGGATGTAACTGCCACCATTTTAGTATTTTCAAGAAACATTCAAATCCCTAATTTCTGAGAAAAGCCCACTAAAATTCTTAGAATTATTTTTGCTTCTTGATGAACTTATGGATAATGAACTGGTAAACCTTATAGTGGCAGGGTTTAAGAGTTGGATGTCAAAAATGTATCACTGGGACGGCTAATGAGATAGCAATTTCAACATGGCAGATTCGATAGGAATCTCCTACTTTCTACATAATGGAGTATGAAGTTACCATCAAACAATAGATAATATAGTTAGCTATAGAGAAGGATGAAGCACATCATTCTAAACATGTCTATGTGCAAAAGTCTAATTAAACCCTAGAAGGTATTTGTTTTATTAGTTTTTTTTTTTTCTTTTCCCTTTTTCTTTTACACGGAAACTTGGTAGAATATGTTTCAAAGGAGAGTTTATATAGCAAATTTGTCATCTCGAGATCACATCTGCAATTCCAAAGTTGTCTCCCCCTGATTATTACCAACAATATATTTTCACATCTTAGCGCATCGCCTCTTCATAACAAATGGAAAGATGTGTTGAGATGTCAAAAATATATTGATAGAACAATCAATAAAATATCAACTTCGAAATAGGAAATCTAGACTCCTGCCATATCCTAGTCTCTCTATAGTGGCGTATGAAGTTGCCATCAAGCAAGAGATGAAAAATGTTTCAATCTTCAAACTAGTTGGCTATTGAAAGTAGGGATGTCAAAAGGGTCGAGCCGCTCGTCAGCTCGGTGGCCCGGCTCGTGAAAATGGGGCTCGTGGGCAGCTTAGGCTCGTAAAATCACGAGTCTGAGCATGAGCACGAGCAGAGCAGACCTCGTCGGGAGGCAAGCCCAAAAGCGGCTCGTTCGTGACTTGTTCAAACGACGAGCCACGAGCTGCTCGAGTTTGGTCACTGAAATAATTTTTTTAAAAATTTACCCCCCCCCCCCCTTCTACTATAAATACCCTTTCCCCCAAAAAAAAATTTTCATATCAATTGCTACTCCCAAGTCTCCAACTCTCTCAACTCTCTTTTATTATATCAATTATCGAATTTTTACTCTCTTGTGTTGAGAAATATATAATGTCAATTCAATTTTTACAGTTTATTAGTTACAATTTTAATTCATCCAATTCTCAATTCTCACAATCTCACTTCATTTATATCCTTCTAATTAAGATTTCATCATAAACAATCAAACAAATGGATCAACGCTCATTTGTTGAAAGCTTGTTCGATACAGAATGTGGGCCAAATCATGGCGAATCGCCTAGGACACCGCAAAGTCAATTTTCAAATGAATTTACCGGTTTAAATGATCTATCGATACCTGAAGATGTTCACATTCATGATCAGGGAAGCCACAATCCAATTGATTTGGCTGATATTAACGATCTCGAAGTGGAATATGATGATAAAGATGCTGAATTAAACATCCCAGATGCGAGGGAAAAGCGAAAGGCCAAAAAACAAGCAAAATGTTGGGATCGCTTTAAGTTGATTTCAACGGGAAAAATCGTCGATGGCCTTGCAGAATCTAAAGCAGTATGTAAATACTGCCAACAAAGATTGGCATGACAAAAAGAAATTAGTACCACACATCTCAACCGCCACTACAAAGCATGTGCGGCTAGACATTAACTTCTTCCAACCGGTCAAACACAATTGCAATTTGGCAGTCCAGGCGTCGGTTCTACAACTACACTTCGTCTCGATCGTGAAAGAATATCTATAGACGAGGTACGTTGGGGTAAGTCGAAATACTCTTCGTGCCGATATAATAAATTATTTCAATAATTCAAAACAACAATTAATTATGAATTTACAACAATATGAGGGTGTTATATCTTTAACTTCTGATATATGGGAAGAGATTAATAAAAGAGTATATATAGCTACAACTGCACACTATATAGACCCAATTTGGTGCATGCATAAGAAAATTATTGCTTTTAGAATTATTAAGTTTCCTCACAATACTAATAATATATATAATACTATTATCAGTATTGTTAGAGAATATCATTACGAGACTAAAATTGGATCTTTTACTTTTGATAATGCTGGTGTTAATAAGATAGTCGCCGATAAATTGTGTTGGACACTTCAACCTGATTTTGGTGGGTATTTGTTTCATATTTGTTATGTGTGTCATATCTTGAATTTAACTGTGTAAGATGGTTTAAGACATATAAATGATAAACTTCAAAGGATTAGGAATACATTAGTATATATTACGATCTCTCCTAGTAGAAAACAAGCATTTGAAGATTTTTGTGTCGAACTAGGGGTGACGACTGCTAAAACATTTGTTAGCGACGTAGGCCATAGATGGAACTCTACTTACTTACTATTAAAGTCATGTGAATATTTCGAAAATTTAGTAACTGACTTTTATAACAATAGACGCGTTAAAAGTGATGACAGTGGTATGTTAAATGAATCCGATTGGATTTTAGTTTTGAAAGTTAAACGATTTTTGACATCTTTTTATGAGAACACAAAAATTTTATCTGACGTTTATTATCCCACAAGTTGTATGGTACTTAAACGCCTTTATATAATTGTAAGAACATTCCATAAATATAAAAATGATCCTACTTTTAGTGAAATTATAATTGCTATGAAATTAAAGTTTAGAAAATATTGAGAAGAATTACCTATATTATTTTCTTTAGCATGCGTAATGGACCTCCGATATAATATTTCGGAAACTAAATACGTAATTGATCAAATCAATAAAGATTTAATACTTGATACACCTATCACCTATAAGAATTTAGAACAAACATTATGTGGAATATATGATTTATATACGGAAAGAATGGGTGCGAATGTTAGTCGGGTACCCTCTGCACCTACTCTTTCTGTTGAAATTGAAGAAGATGATACCGAAATAATGAATTTATTTTAAGGCGTTAATACATTTAGATATGATGCAACTGCAATGTCTTTATCTAGTACCATTTCGTCTACATTTGCATCTCATCAAATATCAGCCGAAACTCAAAATGCAATGTCTGTCGAATTAATTGATTAATTCAATCATAATATGCCAAGAGACAGAACAACTAAAAAAAGTTCAGAAGAAATAATTGAATTATAGCGAAAGTATGAAAGACATTGGTCAATTGTTTTTGCAATTGCGAAAGATTTGCTGACACCTCCGGTTAGCACTGTTGCTTCGGAGTCTACTTTTAGTGCAGATAAAAGGGTTTTGACCGATGTCAGGAGCCGACTAAAAGAAAATATTTTGAAAGCGTTAATGTACGTGAAGGATTGGCAGGACGCTCATTTTCGACTTCAAGATAAATACGCTGAAATTGCATGTCGTCAGATAAGTGATATTTGATTTAATTATATTAATCAAAATTTCTTTATTTTTTAATCGTTAAATTTAATTTTCTTTAAAAAATTGTACACGTTACAGCAAGTTGTTCGTGTATAATTTTTAACTCCGCCTATTTAAAATTGATGTAGTCAGTCCCAAGTCCAGATAAAAAGAAGAAGGTTTACATTTTATCTACTTTAAAAAGAAATCAAAAATATATATTTTTGGTAAATGTATTTCAAAAAATAATTTGTTTTCATTATATAAATATTTTATACTTTATAAAAAGTATTACAATATGATATAAATAAATAAATAAATAATTATTTTCGTTAAAATATTTGTATTTTTTAACACTTTTTTTTTAAAGTGTTTTCTATTATTTCATTTATTTGTAAAACTCTTTTTTAAAAATAAATAAATAAATAAAATTTGGGCAAGCGCGAGCCGAGCTCGTGATATTAAGGGCCGAGCCGAGCCGGCCCATTGCCACCACTAATTGAAAGGGATGTAGCACATAATTACGAACATATACTCGGCCCATTGTCACCACTAATTGAAAGGAATGGAGCACATAATTACGAACATATAATACAAGTTAGATATACGATTGTGTAATTAAATCCAATATGCTGAAAGTATTTGATGAATTTTTCAATAATATAGGTTGCCCGTAACAACTATGATCCCAAGTACAGTTTACAACTTTGTTGGAAAAATGCTACTCAAACAAGGATTTAAAATAAAAAATAAAAATAAAAAAGGGGCTGACCAGCATGTGATTGAATGTTTTTGTGTTGTTTTTTTCCAATTTCCAATGATAAACTACCATGTTGTCTGAAAAAAAAAAAATTCTCATTGAGTTGGACTGTAGCTTGACTGGTACACCAATACATGCATCATGCACGTAGTACTGACTAATCACTATAATAAACGATATTTTAACTTGATCTTTTTCCTTAATATAGTTCAATGTTATATAGATTATCGTACCAAATACGTCGGACAATGTACTTATAGAGCAGTCGTTTTTAACATGTAAACTAACCGTAAATCTCGATGTCCTTGACCAGCAAACATCAGAAAAATTTTAATACATCTGCGATATTATTTCATTGGACAAAGAAATATCTCATGAACGTCACGTGAAGTACAATAAAATGTAATGTTTGCATGTAAGTAAACAATCATTCTAATACATTTGCTATATTATTTCCTTGGACAAAGGAATATCTCATGAACGTCACGTGAAGTACAATAAAATAAGGATAGAATTTCACTTTAGTCTGCATCTGCCAACTTGTGCTTGTGATCTAGTTCAAAATTCTAGCGAAGTCGCAAGTAAACCTCCGTCGGACACTAGTTAGTCAGCTGGTTGGATGCGTACAATTGCTCCTTGACTGGTAAAGATTGTTCGTGATTACCTGCAAGGAAAAGCATAAGACTCTATAACAAGGGTAGAATATGTGAACTTTGCCGGATGAATTGCAAAATAATTCATCACCTGATCAAATCTGCATTTGGACAAAGACTACGCTCCAAGATTTATTGGAATTTGTGCAACAAAGATTTTCATAATGAATGCAAAGGGTGATACAGGAAAATATCAGTTTTGACTCGAGTATCATATAACAGTGCCTAAGTCATGGATGAATATCTCCTGCTGCAAGTCACCATGCCGATAAAACAAGACAAGTGATGGACCATATCTATTTTGCTAATGGAAGCCAACCAGCAAAGTTATGTTGCAAAGAGGATTCAACCAAGGTGTGAAAAGAAGGTACATTGTTTCTTGGTTTCGGGCCTTACAAGCTAGTTGGAAGACCAATGGCTTGAATAAGCCGCCTTCTATCTACCAAGAGGTGTATAACTTGGTTGGGATGTCTGGCAAGGATTTGGTATGGCCCAGTCCAGACTAGACCACTAACCGTGCCTTAAGATTTTGGTAGAGGCCTAACTAAATCTGAGCTGTGCTGGCCCGGTTTACGCCTCTGTACTTCATGGCAGGATCTCAAATACATTATACAGTAGAGCAGTAAAATAGAGTTTCATGGTGAGCTAGTTGGGAATAATTGAGTGGAGACTAACACGTGCATCGAGAGCATTACCTTATGCAATATTCAAGGAAACAAAGGCATGTAAAGGAGCCCTGTGTTCTCGGGATTTCCCACCATCAAGTTAAGATTCTGTAAGGCCTGACCAGAAGCTCCCTTCACAAGATTATCAATCTGCATCATGGCACTTGGAGATTGAGCCAAGAAACGAAAGTAAAAAGTCGAACGCAATCTATACTGGACAAAAAAAACTTACAACAGAAATTATTATTGCTCTTCCAGGGATTCGATCTGGAAATACATTCATAAAGCAGTAATTAGATCCCCGAACATGTCGAGTATGAGGAACTTCATTTTTCTTCAGCAAAGTCACAAATTCTTCATTCTGTGAAAGCAGGAGAATAACGTTATGTCAATCAGCTGCTGGCCATTTAGACCATAAAATTTTATAGGTCAGCTTTGGAATAACAACATTTGTTATCTCAATCCTCCAGCTTTGAATAATAGAAAAGCTTACTGCTGGCATATTAGGGAAAACATAATTCACTTGCAATTGGGATTTTGAGGTTCTAGGAATTGGACGTCAATATCTTGTGCTTCTCTTACGTCAAAACTTTGATTGAGTCCATGAGATCAAAGATAAGAATCTCAGAGTTTTGTACTAAATTATATAGAAGACCTAGTACCAGTATATAGAAGCCTAGTTACGGAAAAATTCACATCAATGTATGCCTTCACTCCATATATGGGGAAAAAAACAACATTTGGAAGCTCACTGCCAATAGATAATGTGTAAATGTAGTTTTTTAGAAACTAATCCCACCAAATTAAAGCTTTTCAGTCTTTTGTTTAACTTCTGATGGTCCAGATGATCCAGTGTCAGAGACTGCCTTGAATGCAATATGTGTTGATTAAGGTGAGCTTCTTTCAACATTTCAACCCAAATTGAAGTTTTTATCTTGGAAGATTCTTCATCCACCCAACACCAAGAAAAGGCGGAACAACATGTTTGGTTAAGCTTTAACAGTTTACTTACAAATAAATAAGTTTAAAATAGATAATCTTATTATTGTTCATAACTGGGAATAAGCGCTACATTTCAACAATAAATTAACACTAGCTTCAAAATTAACTCTCTTTTCACTCAAGGTAAGCCAAAAGTAACTTATCCAGACATTTTTGGAAACAAAAAGTAAGCTTCTTTAGAAAAATAATAATAATAATAATAATAAAAAAGCCAAACATGCTTATCAAATGGATCAGTTACCTCATAAAACGAGCTCAAATGCTGATATAAATCCTGAATTGACACTCCTGGGGCCATTTCCACATATATAGTTGATTGCATACCACGACTCTGGCGAATAAGAAAAGTAAAGAACAGAGAGTGATAACACAAAGCTGCATACAATAAATCTTAGATTGAGTGTTACCATCGGCATTAAGTGCGGAGTGAAGCTAACATTAACTTCTGAATTTGCCGCATCTGACAATCCTTGTTCAATTTCCGGCACTGCAAAATGATAAACAGTTTTTGTTAATGCATTCATAATCAACACGAGGACATCCAATTGGTTTTAGCTTTACAACAACCCACAAATCTATCATCACAAAACAGACAAATATAATGGATTCTATGCTCGAGCATGTTTGGTTGAGCTTAATAAGTTTAATTAAAAGTGTACACATAAAAGTTTAAAATTAAATATTTTTCTATTAATCGAAATTAGAAATCAGTAATTTGTTTTGATAGTAAGATAAGAGTTACTCTCAGAAAGTAACTTCTTTTTACTCGAAAATAGAAAAAATTAACTTATACAGACATGTTTGGAAACAAAAAGTTAAGTAACTTTCACTAATGTATAAGCTATCCAAACATGCTCTATGAGGTTACAGCAAGCAGGCCAGGGTGAAGGCGTAATCTCTCTTAAAAAAGATGTCAATTTAGGCATTTTTCTAATAGTTTCTGCATATTAAGGGAGTATTAGAGTGTAATGTTGAATTCCCAGAAATTGATTACTCACCGTGACGATGCTTAGTAATACCATATGAATGGATGCCTTCTGCTATTTCAGTGTACAAATTTGCCTCCTTCGCTCCACGTCCTGCGGG